CAGTCAAACATAGCAAGAAATACAGTTAGGGCGACAACCAATAGGTAAATCTTCAACCTTCGCAACTCCCCTCCAACTACTCACTATTGGGTACGATAATTAACATACTGCAGCGACAGTTCCATGCCCGCACAGTATATCAAAAAACAAGACTAAAAAAAAAAAAAAAAAAAAAGAGCCTGCTTTACCGCAGACAGAAATTGGCTACTAGATTCACTAAGATCGGTCAAATGTCATCATCACCCATACAAACAGGAAAAAACTCTCAATCTGTCAATCCTCACTGTGCACGCAGTGCTATCATTCCAGCCTCCTTCCCTGCCACAACCTTGCTTTCACCTTTCTTCTACTGTTGTCCGACACCTTGAGTTGTTCCCGTTGGAATCGTTTCCTCTACTCATCCTTTGACATGCTTGGACGTTGCCCCGACCAGTTTCAAACAAGAGCTAAGAAAAATTTTGGCCCTCCGGTAACTCATTGTCATAGCTCAACATTCAGTTTATCATACACGGTCCGTTCATTCCTCGCTGCTACCAAGGTACGTCCTCATTTATCCCCCCCCCGCTCTCTAGCTCATCCTTGTTTTACTCTTCTGTCTCTCCCTTTTGCATACTTCGTACATATTCACGATTCCAATGATATCGGTGGTATGGGAAAACAGCCACGTCATAACGATGAGGTACCCAACTAAGACTCTTGCTCTTCTTCTCAACGAATGTGCAAAAACGAGGGGGAATCTTTCGCTACATCACGGATGAATTCACCGTTCAGCTGCTACTTTAAGGTAGGCACTCGCTCCCACTCGCTGCCCAACCCTTAATTTTCACGGACGCACATGAGCGCTCTCCATGCTAGGTTCGTTTCCGGGTAAAGACCACGATCGACACGATCAAGATCACGACCCCGATGAGCAATGGCTGGAAAGAAATACGAATTTCAAACTAACTACAGTGGCCAAATGATAATGAATCTTTCATTGAAACATGAAAAGATTCGGTCATTTTTCGTATACACAGCCCTCTCAGCCAGTAGTGGCCGAAAAGCTTGTTGAATCCTTAATCCGTCGCAGTTAAGGTCACTTTAGCATCTCTCTTCACTCGCTTTTATTAATAAACGAATGAAATACGCCTCTCACACCCCGTGATGTTCCTCCTCGATACTCTCCACGCAGCCACATTTTCTCTCATCTCCTCACACACACCTCGATTTCCAAAACTAACATCATTGTTGAGCTCGCGATGACTTAGAACCCCAGAATCGCCCCTTCACTCGCTCGATTCCACCAAGGATTGAGTGAGTTATGCATTTTCCTCCTACCATAACCGTTTCCTTCATTCCTTCGCGCAAGTTGTTTTTCTTACTACTCTTCTTCTACTGATCTACTGCTGAAACTAACACTATCACTGAACTCGCCCGGTCCAAAACCCCCCATCTACCATCTTCCCCCGCCTAAAACTAATGCAGAACGGGTGAGTTACAAGCTCAATCCTCTGCCATAGCTTCTTTGCCCGTCGCGTGCGCCATCTTCATCTTGCCTTTGCATGCACCTTGCGCACAACCCCGTTCAGGTTCGTTCATTCTTTTCTGGTTTTACAACGCCTCGTTTGCCAAACTGCGCGTTACCCCAAACATGACAGAGCGCTCCTGTTGATTGATGCAAACAAAAGGTCGTCGGTTATGGAGTAGGAATCCGCTAAGGAGTGTGTAACAACTCACCTGGCGCATCTATCAGCCCCGACCACCGACGACGCTGGGCACGACTCCGCCGCTAAGCCTGCACCGTGGGCCTCGGTGAGGTGAGTCCCGGTGCAGATCTTGGTGGTGGTAACAAATATTCAAATGAGAACTTTGAAGTCCGATATGGAGGAGAGTCCCACGACATACTCATACCCAACCTCTCCACCGCGGACTGCGAGGAACGGATGGCGCTTTTGCATAAAAGTCCTGCGACTCTAATTATTTCCAACCCGTGGGCTAATCACCTGGCTCGCATGCACGTCAGACTCCTTGGCCCGGCTTTTCACGACAGGTAGGATAGTGGAATTTTGCCAGCATCCTGAACACGCAGGAATTCAAACGGGCCCGCCAGAAACAGGCGCATGCTCAATGTCCTTGATTACCGCGACGACCTTTAAATCCGGCGTTGCGTCTAAACCAAGGAACGTCAGAACATGAAATAATAATAATACCACAATAAATAATAGAAATATTTAAAAACTTTTAATCGTCAGAATACGAGGGACGAAGAAAGGAAACCGCTAATACCGTTTCGACGCCGCCGACAGTGAAACCAAGGGGAATAACTTGTATAAGCAGATACCACGTGGCGCGTCAGTCTACTGAAACGCCTCAGCGCCACATCTCGGCCTACCAACTAATCCCACGCCCATCGAACCTTCTGCGTCTACCGCGCGACTACACAAAACCGTGCCTTTGTCGACGTCATCCTCCGTATGTACGCACAGGTCACAGAGCAAGCGCACCAATCACAAAACAATATATATTTTTAATCCTAGTTTAATCAGAATATAAACAAAACCTGGTCGGCGATCACGCTGGCTCTTCAACCATTACCAATTAAAAGATCACGTGCGCCTCAAACTTGCGAGACCACACACTCTCTACTTTAGTCAACCATCCTGTCAACGTAAACCACAGACGCAGCCGCGCCTCGCGCGGTATACCTAAACTTTCAAATCAAACTTATTTTCTGTTACTTGCAAAAACCAGGGCGGATAAGGGTATTCGCACCGACACTGGAGTCGTAGGTCCTGGTCCAAACTCAAACCGAGTGTCGTGGATACTGCTGAAGTCTTGGTCCTTGGTCTGATTCAAATGACCCGTAGTCCTTGGTCCCAGTTCAAACTCCAAAATCCAATTGAGTGTCGTGAATATTGCTGAGATCTTTGTCCTTCGTCTGATTCAGATGGCCCGCAGTCCTTGGTCCCAGTCCGAACTCCAACCGAGTGCCATGAATAATGCTGGTGCCGTGGTCCAGATAAACCGTCAGTAATATTGAGTGGAGGTCATGAACCGTAGATCTTGGGAACGTGTGGATGCGAAGAAGTGTTGCCAAATAGTAGAGTGTGAGGAAACGATTCTGTTAGCGAAATGGCTCCGTAGCCGCCGGTGCCTGCTGGTGATGACTGAGGCAAGGAAAAGCCAACTGTGACAGGTGGTAGGACAATTGCTGCTTTGGTTAGGTGGGCGAGGCTCGTAAAAAAGTAGTGTTGGTTTGCTAAAATAGCGTCCGGGACAATGGTGGTTTATAAAGAGTATGAGCATAGTGGCCTTCCAGACATGGTGTGTGTGTGTGTGTGTGTGTGTGTGTGAGAGAGAGAGAGAGAGAG